CAGTGCAATTGCAGGGCCCTTTTTGGAGTGAAAAAGATATCGAAAAAACGACAAGACAGTGTCCGGGTTTTTTCATTTGGCAAAGGGAAATTAAAAAAGTTTACAACGGGGACCCTCTGCTTTTGGGTCTGTTTGTCTTCATTTGGGCCTTTAAAAGTGGAAATGCGTTTTTTGGAGTGATGAATCACGCTTCACCATCTGGCAGTCCGACAGACAAATCTGGTTTTGGCAGATGCCAGGAGAACGCTACCTGCCCCAATGCATAGAACTTGACCCCATCGAACACCTTTGGGATGAATTGGAACGCCGACTGCGAGCCAGGCCTAATCACCCAACATCAGTGCCCGACCTCACTAATGCTCTTGTGACTGAATGAAAGCAAGTCCCCGCAGCAATGTTCCAACATCTAGTGGAAAGCCTTCCCAGAAGAGTGGAGGCTGTTATAGCAGCAAAGGGGGGACCAACTCCATATTAATGCCCATGATTTTGGAATGAGATGTTCGACGAGCAGGTGTCCACATACTTCTGGTCATGTAGTGTATGTTTGATGCAGAACTGGGCCAGTGCAGTACAGCTCGGCTCAGCCCGGCTCAGCCCGGCTGCACTCGAGGGGTGTAAAAAGGTTATTATCCAGTTGTGAGCCATACTCTTTCCTGTCATTCTACTTCAATGGCCCCGACACTGTGTTTCAACAGCCTTGGAGAGCAACAATAAACTGTCTGCTGCGGACAGATGACAACCGCCAACCGCCTGTCATATCATTCACCACCACCAAGACCTATATCACCACTACATTCACTGTGTGTGAAGGCAAGGCAGGTCATTTCCTTTTGAAATATAAGGCATCTTTATCCTCAGTTGCTATAAATCCGATAACGTCTTTCTGTTTAGACAAAGGGCCTGCTGTTGTGACTGGCCTCAAAGAAATAGGGTCCCTCTGTGAAAGGGTAGTTATAAACAAGAATCAACCTTTGTGCTTCTTGCCAATGGTCAGTGTGTCTGCTTGTGTCACATGCGGAGGGTCACACCAGAATACTACTACTACTACTACTAATAATAATAATAATAATAATTGTTAACTGGGTGAGGAAGGTAGGGAATAAAACTGTCTCAGAGGCAGTGTCTTCATGCTAAAGTGCATGTGCTGTAGAGCTAATTAAAGACGAATGTACGATAGAAAAAGCAGTGTCATTAATCTCAAAGATGAATGCATCTCTTTCATGACCTAATATTAGGCCCAAATTCATTTAATCAACAAATACTCTGTCTAAGGACTAGAATTAAGCTATTAATGTTTTATTTTAAATCATTGTATAGGGGATAGATAAAGGGCATTAACTACATGCATTTACAAATGCAATGCTGATGCAGTTAGATTATATACGATTTGTCGTTTATGTGAAATTTGAACGTCAGTTGCTGACTAAACTAAGCTAAACATCCAAGTGATGATGTTGGCCTTGATATGAACATCATAGATGTAACGCAAATAATACGTCTGTATTTTTCATAGATATTACGCCCTCCTGTCTTCACGGTTATTGGTCCAACCGAATTATTTGGCCTAAATGACAGGACAAACGACCCCCAATCCCTAATAATTCCCTAAAATAACGTTTGCTTTCTGATATTTCATTTATTTCAGTCTCAGAACAACTATTAAATACAGTTTTATGAAACCTAATTGAATAATTCCAAATGCAAGGCAACCTTACCTTATAAAAGCAAGGTTCGGTATGTGAACTTCATGGGCTGTCCTTAGTCGGCGTATAAAATTCCTCCTTTATTAAAACGATGGCTTCACATTTCCTCTCCGTTTACTTTTGCCTAAACACCCGAAGTTACATTCGTTAGCCTGTGGATGTGTTGTTGACAGCCCTGTGTATTTTTGCTCAGTAAATGCCAGTTACTGAAGTGATGACATTGCACCAGACACCGTTCAAGGCCGAATTCATTGTGCAAATGCAGATACAATCGTCAACAGATGCAATCACGTGACCTGATCCTGTCAACCATCACGTGACCTCGTACCAGCCGTGTGCGGGTTTTGTCTGGGTCCTCCATCCGGAAGTCCCAAAGATCCTGAATAACGTTAACCGTTTTGGCCGCCTGTTCCCTTTTCTTTCCAAATACAGAAGTCATTTGGGTACATTAAACATGTATGGCTCTGGGTATTCTGTAGATAGGGTGCTTTCGTATAATCAATTAAACTTGTGACAATTGCATTGTCCAATAAGTCTATAAACAACAATACTTGAATTCTACCAGTATGTGATAATATTATTTCAGGAGAAAGAAACCATTTGTCATTAGTGCAACTCTCTGCACATAATTTCGTGTGCATACATCTGTATGTTCACGTGCAAGTACTCTCCTGGTGGTTGTACTGCTCCCCTGCAGGGCAGTTGGAAGAGGTGGAGGGTGTGGCAGTCAAAGTTGATATTTACATTTTAGTCATTTAGTAGACGCTCTTATCCAGAGCGACTTACAGTTAGTGAGTGCATACATTATTAAAAAATTTTTTATACTGGAATCGAACCCACAACCCTGGCGTTGCAAATGCCATGCTCTACCAACTGAGCTACATCCATATTCAACTCAGAAGACACACAGGCAGACTTGCAGATGTTTGTTTTAATAGAAATTGATACATGGTGCACAGAAATATCTTCACACAAGTCACTTGACGGTACAATGTAGAAAAAACAAGTCAAAAGTCAACCTTTATGTAGAAAAAGGCAGTTTACTTGTCCTTTTTGGAATGAAACCAAAACAAAACATCCAATTTCAAGTAAAAGGCATGTTGTCACAGTTCTTTATTTTCCCCCTATACATTTACATATGTACATAACAGACAAGGGATATAAAACAGTCTGATCTAAGAGTTAAAACATTTACAGTCAGTCACAATAATTTGTGCACAATGGTTCCCTCTGAAATGGCACCCTATTCCCTATATAGCGCACTACTTTTGACCAGAGACCAACCAGAGAGGTCAAAAGAAGTGCACTACATATGGAATAGGGTGCCATTTCAGACAGACACAAAGGACTCCTCTGTGTCCTGAACTAGGCATACAGTACTTATCTACAATACATCAAGTAATCATTTGCCTTGTAGTGTCTTTACTTCCATTTCTCCAAAAGGAGGCAATGCAACTCCACTTACACCATCTGAATAACACTAGTAGTTGATTGTTCAAGCGTAGAAAATGTTACTGTGAAAAACAAAAACACTTCTCATTCAGCAGAAGTGCTAGACTTCATTCAAGATGAACCCATTGGGAGAAGCGAGTGCTAGACTTCATTCAAGATGAACCCATTGGGAGAAGCGAGTGCTAGACTTCATTCAAGATGAACCCATTGGGAAAGACGGTGGGCAAAACGAAGACTTGCTTTGACAAAACTTGTTAGATGTTCTGTACTTCAAATTTCATGTCGCACTGTGCACCTCTTAGTTACTAAACTGTGACCCCATTGGTCAATGTTCATGGCTCTAAATGTTCGGATGACATCACTGATGATTCACCCATAGAAATAAAATCTATATAAATCTATTATATTTCTACGGCATCAACTTTAGTGGTTTCTAACAGACAGATGAAATCATGTGCTCTTACCAATGGAATTAGCTGTTATGGGGTCAAAGGTTAGGAGTGGTGGGGATGACTGAAATATTCTCCTTTTACAAAATGTTATGCTGTTTTCAAATGAAACAATACCTTGGTCTTGTTAAAGCTTGTAGAATTGATTTGTTTCTATATTATAGGTTATCTCCTGTGCTCCAACTCTAAACAGTAACAGGGTACAGTAGATGCAGCACAAACCGCATATTGTATTGGTAATGTCTCAGTACATACAAAACTGTAGGCTAATAATGTATTTCCGTACACTTGAATTACTATCATATCAGTCTTCACAGGTAAAAGCTATTTACCCACCAATAGTCACCTCAATTAAGTTTTAAAGTACCTTTGGCATGTGAACAGACAAATGACAAAAATGGATCAGAGAAAATTCATACAATCAAAATAAGGCTTTAGACTTCACAATCGTAGATATCTAAAGAACAGATTGAACCTGGAATCCAAACTGAATATGGCTTTGTTTCACTACTCTGTTTGGACCCCAGGCTAGTACAGAGTAGCCAAATCCTGACCATTCTGTACAGGCAGTGCATATCAGAATCTCTTCACTGGTATAAACGGTGATTCATGAAACTCCCAACATTAGGAGAGTTGCAGAGAGCAAAACAAAACTGTTGCATTGATTAATAATTGTAATCAATTATAGTCAATACAGTCACAATAACGCAGGTTGTGGTTCTTTTCACATGAGAAAGTCTTCATACAGACATATTTCAAAATGGTCCATGAGGTCTTTTTTTTTAGGTGGTAGCTGCAATCCTTTGACATCTGAGATAGGTTGTTGTGTGAGACCAGCGCAGAACACAATCTGGATCAATGCAATGTAACAAAGTCCTGAGGTGGAGAGTGAAGTGTTGTTCCAGTGGTTTTCAGGCTGATGATGAAGTGTCTGTCACAAATAACGCCCTATTCCCCATGTAGTGCACTACTTTTGACCAGGGCTCGTAGGAATCTGGTCAAAAGTAGTGCACTACATAAGGAATAGGGTGTAATTTGGGACGCTTCCAAAGTCAGTGAAAGATGAGAGGGAGCCACCTTATCTTTCTCAAGCAGAAGATGTCTATTGTTTACTCGTGTGAAATGTGAGGAATGAAAGAAGAAAAGGCAGGATTCTGGTATGACCGTTTGAGTTGACGTGTTCTCCTTTCCCTTTATCGTCTTAAAGCTTACAATAGGTATTTGTGATCTTATGGCATTCCGGGAACCAGTGCAGATTTCAGGTCTTTATGGAGTGAAGAAGAGTATCGTCAACAACGACAAGACAGTGCTCCTGGGTTGTGTTCATTAGGGCAGGAACGTTTAAAAACGTTTTACAACAGGTAGTCCCTCTCCTTTTGGGTCTGTTTGTCTTCAGTTTGGTGCCTAATGAACACGACCATGGCAAAAGAGGGTGAAGTTAAGGCAAGGTGGTAGAAAAACATCAGGATCCATTCAACTGTCAGTTAAGTCAGTTCTTATAGGCTTAGGAAACCTACACTTGAGGCATATACCACCTCTTCATCTTCATCCTCCCCTTCCCTCTCCATCTCTCCTCCGCTGTGCGCTGCTGCGTTCTTCCTCTTCACCTGTCTGCGAGCTGCAGCCGCTGCAGCCCGGGGTCTTTGCACCGGCACCAGGAGGCGGAACCCGGGCAGAGCCACCGTGGCGCTGGAGGCAGAGTCTGGCGTGGGGGGCACCGCCGTGAAGGTGCAGGGCATCAGGAGGGAAGAGGAGTTGGAGCAAGGACTGACACTCTGGACAGAGGAGTAGCCCGAGCTGTGGAGGTCGGTTGTGATGAAGGAGGAGAGGGGCTCTTGCGGTCGGCTCATGGCGCTCCCCTCCCCTTCCTCTTTGTCCCCCTCACAGAAACTGTCATCGTCGCTGGAGAGGGCTCTGCAGTGCAGTTTGGAGTCCTCGGGCTCTGTTGCTAGCTCCAGTGTCATGGCCAGAACGGAGGCTGCACAGAAGAAGAGACCGTTAGCTTGGCGGCATATCATAGTGAGTGTATTGACTTACTGTGAACAAAAATCCAACCCATGTCAATTATTAGGGCTGTGAATTGCCAAGGACCTCACGATACACGATTCTATATGTATTACGATTCTCAACGTATTGAGATTTGATACTGCAATTATATTACGATTTGATGTTCCCAACATATTGCTCACTGTCTGCTGCAGAGAGACAAGAGAACATAAGAAAACGAGTTTTGATCAGTCACGGAAATAAAAGTGCTGAAAATATGTCTCTATTTAAAAAGATTGAGAACAAGCTATAGGACGACAAATACCGGAGATTTGGCGCCAGTACAGCCGACTAGCGCTAGCTACAGTAGATTTATTTTCTATTTATTTTTACAAATCAATACGTGGGAGTCAAATATCTATATAATAATCGTCCAAAAATATTGCGATATGCAACTATCGATTCTCCCCCCCGCACCCCCCCCCCCCATCACTATCAATTATGGATGCCTTAAAAGAAAACTCCACACAAAAACTCTAGGTATTTGTTTCATTAGTCCATTGTTGATATAGTCACAAAATGTTGTGCATGTCAGCAATACACTTTCAAAATACAGAAATACAGCCTGTACGATGCATTTTGCATCATATGATGCTGCGTTTTGCATGTGTGTCTGCCTCTGAGCAGTCTGGTCTGTACCCCACATCAGGACAATCATGTCTGACTAAGTTTTCCAGTACATAGTGATGTCACTACATCTAGTAAACCAGTTGGAATGGCCAGCATGACACACTCGTCTTCCATTAACCCCCCATCTATAGATAGGCCTGGGGTGTATTCATTAGTGCAAGTTTTGCAATGGAAAACAGGCGTTTCTTATTGGACACATTTCAGGTAGGTCCCTGCCCATTTTTGCCCGTTTGGTTCCTAGTGAATACACCCCTGGTATAGAGGTGATCATAAATGATCAGAACTCATGTAGTTGATTCCCTCCACTCACTCTCTCCCTCCTTGGCCTCCTTCTCTCCTTCGCTCTCCTGGTCCCCCTCGTATCCGGAGCAGGAGGTGTCCAGGCTCCAGTCCAGCATGTCCCCCAACAGGGTCTCTTCCTGAGTGGACAGCTCAGCCGTGGGTGTGGCCACAAAGCTGCCTCGGTACACAGGCAAGGACTCCTCCCGTCTCCTGGGGGAGAGAAACACAGCAGATTGCAGTGAGTCAGTAACCACAACAGCTGTGATGGAAACAGGAAGTTTCGTTACAATTTGATAAATGCCGACAGATAATTTGTTCTTTTGACACGGTGGGATCTTCTTGTGATGGTAAAATTAATTATGAAAGAAATGGCGGCGGAAACACCTTTATGCGCAAATATTGATATAATACCCATCATATCGAAGTAAACTTGGAGTCACGCGATATGGTGTGTGGTCCTCTCATTACGACTTGGGAAACCATGCAGTTTATTAGGCTACAGAAGAATGTTATGATGAACGTCACAGGGTGGGGAAAGTGCACGATGATGAGCTTGATGCTCCTTTCCAATAAATATTGAGGGTCTTATTCTATTGACATGACGATCGATGCTTGACAAATAAAAATATTCTCGCTCTTCTCTATAATAATCTCATCATGTAGACTAGCCTACCCGCACTGCAGGCTGTTGGCTAGAGCGCACGTGCCAAGACCAGAGTAGGCATATTTTCTATTTAACCTCTAAAGCTTAAATTCTTATTAATCTAACTACACTGTCCAATTTACAGTAGCTATTACAGTGAAAAAATACCATGCTATTGTTTGAGGAGAGTGCACAATAACAAAAAACGTATCACGGTAACTGGTTTGATACATTCACCTCTGAAGGTAAATAATCTACTTACATTCAGTAATATTGCTCTGATTTGTCATCCTAAGGGTCCCAGAGATAAAATGTAGCATAGTTTTGTTTGATAAAATCCATCTTTATATTCAAATGTAGGAACTGGGTTCTACAGTTTGAACCCTGCTCTCTCTGGCTCAACACCCACCCCGCCCGGCCATCTAGATGTGTGAAAGTTAGTGTATAAGCTAATGATCCATCATATATGACATTCCTGGGAGTGTGTACACTTACATTTTGTATTACCATATAATTTTAGTATGTTCTCTATAGTTATGTACTTGAAAATGTATCAATTGCCCAATTCGGCACACTTGGGCAGACTTAATACAAAATAGTCCAGTATTGCAATGCTTCACTGGATCAATCTGAAACTTCGCACACAAACTGCTGCCATCTAGTGGCCAAAATCTAAATTGTGCCTAAACTGCAATATTATATTGTGGCCTTTCTCTTGCATTTCAAAGATGGAACCAAAATAAATAGAAAACGCATGTTTTTTTGTTTGTATTATCTTTTACCAGATCTAATGTGTTATATTCTCCTACATTAATTTCACATTTCCACAAACTTCAAAGTGTTTCCTTTCAAATGGTATCAAGAATACGCATATCCTTGCTACAGGCAGTTAGATTTGGGTATGTCATTTTAGGCAGAAATTGAAATAAAGGGTCCGATCCTTAAGAGGTTAACAGTTTGTGACAAAACTATCAGTAGAGTTGAAAACGTGACAAACGCATTGAATTTTAGATTTTTATTCGGTACATGAAAAGGTAAGCGAAAAAGTACATTGTGTGCACTACGTCATCACGCAGTCCGTTTGGTGGAAACAAATTGTGAGGGGAAAAAAAATAATTTTCTTTAAGCAGATTTTTTAATATTTGCATGAAAATCTGTCACCAATTTGATGGAAACCTAGCTATTGAGTCTTCTTAGTTTAGTTTATTAACAATTTTTAAAAACCTTCATGAATAAAGTCATCAAGGGTGACACAAAAGTTTAATATTTATTTCCATTGTGGTCATCTAGTGGACAGATGGCAATTACTCGGTACAGCATAAACAAACAATTTGGGTATGAAAGCACTTTTTTGGATGAGACCAGCGCTGGACAGCCACCATAAAAGACTATGTGAGAGTGGTCATTGTTGCTCAATCACAAAGGAACCCTTAGCCTTTACCATCTGCCTAGACACTTGGCAATGATTGGACAGAGGAAAATCCTACCTGGTCTATAAGAGAACAAGGTGGAGCTAATCAATATATTGCTGACACCTATCCAATCCCTTCCGAGTGCCAACCTACACAAGTGTCTAGGTGAGGGGTAGTGGGGTCGATTTAGGTTAGGTTGAGTGAGCCACTGTGCTCTTTCCGTATGAATCCGATCTCACATTTGTGTGGCTTAACGGCAGTAACTCACCTCTTGCTGTTGCTAGAGGGGGAGGAGAGGAAGGTGTGGATGTCTGCTGGCTGGCCCGTGGGGCTGGGGAGCACCATGTGGGGCTCCACCTCCGGCACCTCCAGGATCTGACACAGCTCCTTGAAGTCAATCACCTGGGAGAGAGCGTGAGAGAACACAGGTACAGAAACGCACTGGTTAGGGTAGTGTTCAGTTGGCACGAAATGGAAGATAAAGCTCTTAAAACAGAGAGGTACTATCTGAACTTGTCCAATAAGACATTGTTGGACAACATTATATTGATACTTGGACTCCAAATACCGATTTGTAAAAATAATTATATATACAGACACACACACACACACACACACACACACTACCGTTCAAAAGTTTGGGGTCACTTAGAAATGTCCTTGTTTTCGAAAGAAAAGCAATTTTTTGTTGTCCATTAAAATAACATCAAATTAATCAGAAATACAGTGTAGACATTGTTAATGTTGTAACTGGCTATTGTAGCTGGAAACGGCAGATTTTTTATGGAATATCTACATAGGCCCATTATCAGCAACCATCAGTCCTGTGTTCCAATGGCACGTTGTGTTTGCTAATCCAAGTTTATCATTTTAAAAGGCTAATTGATCATTAGAAAACCTTTTTGCAATTATGTTAGCACAGCTGAAAACTGTTGTGCTGATTAAAGAAGCAATACAGCTGGCCTTCTTGAGACTAGTTGAGTATCTGGAGCATCAGAAATTGTGGGTTCGATTACAGGATCAAATTGTATTGCTTCTTTAAATCATAATTGCAAAAGGGTTTTCTAATGATCAATTAGCCTTTTAAAATGATAAACTTGGATTAGCAAACACAACGTGCCATTGGAACACAGGACTGATGGTTGCTGATAATGGGCCTATGTAGATATTCCATTAAAAATCTGCCGTTTCCAGCTACAATAGCCATTCACAACATTAACAATGTCTACACTGTATTTCTGATCAATTTGATGTTATTTTAATAGACAAAAAAATAGCTTTTCTTTCGAAAAAAATGACATTTCTAAGTGACCCCAAACTTTTGAACGTTAATGTAGTGTATGTATGTATGTAGTGTATGTGTATAAATACATATATATCACACACACACTTAGGTAACGACACTCCCATCTATTTCTTTTTTAGCACTTTTATTTCCCTGGCTAATCAAAACTCATTCTCTCTGTAGCAGACATATAGCGACCAATATATGTTAGGAACATCAAATCGCAACAAAACAACAGTATCGAACCGCAATACATAAAGAATCGTGAGAATCGCAATACATATCGTATCAGCACCAAAGTATCGTAATAATATCCTATTGCAATTCCCAGCCCTAGTTTTGCGACGGTGTCCTAATGAGCACAACACCGCTACAGCCAAAAGGAGAATATCCGGGCCAGCAGCCCAGCACAGTGCACTTTGGGTCGACATACTAGTTTGAAAAGAGCAACAGTCCATGTCAGGAGGAGATGACAAGCTCACCTTTTCTTTGCTGATGTGTTGGTAGGCCTCATCCTCAAACCTCTGCTTGACACCTGTCAGAGACATGTGCCTGTAGTCTTTGGGTACATCCTTACTGAAGCTGTCAGAGACGAGAGAAGTGAGGTAGAAAGAGAGAGTGAAGGAAATCCTACTGAAAGCGACAGAGAGAGGAGAGGAAGAGAGAGGAAAGAGAGCGAGAGAGAGAGAGGTGAAAGAGAGCAAGAGGAGAAAGAGAGAGGTGAAAGAGAGCAAGAGGAGAAAGAGAGAGGTGAAGAAAAAGAGAGAAAAGGAGGTTGAAAGAAGTGAGAAAGAAGAGGGAGGAAGAACAAGAGGAGCGTGGTTAACATCCGTCATATGTTCTCCAATGACCATTTACATTACGTCTAGCGACGCTCTTATCAGAGCGCGTTAGTGGTGAAAAGTAAACAGGAGGTGGAAACATTATGTTTGGGGGTTTTATGTAAGGGAGGTCCGCATCAAGGGACGATGGACGGGCCAGTCAAGAGACCTCTTCCCTAGCCAGGCATTGAAAACGGGATGGGTATCCAGAGACAAGGCCAAACAAGCCAGGCAACAAGTGGATCAAGAAGAAGCACATTAAGGTCTGGAGGGACTAGCCAGTCTCTAGACTAATCTCATAGAAACTCTGTGGAGGGAGTGAAGGTCAAGTTGCCAAATCAGCCTCAAAACCTTAATGACGGAGAAGATCGCAAAGAGGAGTGGACAAAATCCCTCTGAGTGTGTGCAAACCTGGTGGCCACTACAAGAAACGTCTGACCTCTGTGATTGCCAACAAGGTTTGCCACAGATACTAAGTCATGTTTGCAGAGGGGTCAAATACTATTTCCCCATTAAATGCAAATCAATCTATAACATTTTGACATGCATTTTTCTGGATATTTTGTTGTATTCTGTCTCTCACTGTTCAAATAACCTACCATAAAAATTATGACTGATCATGTCTTTGTCAGTGGGCAACGTACAAAATCAGCAGGGATCAATACTTTTCCCCCTCACTGTATATGATATTACCTTCTGTTTGAAAATTGGACGTTGTCGATAAAGTGCAGTGCCTCTCACTAGTCTGACTCACACAAGTATGGTGCAGGATGAGTCATCACCCACCCCCCCCCCCCCCCCCCCCCCACACACACACACCCAAAGTCCCAGCAGCCTCCCATATGCACATCCACCCTTACACCTAACCATCCCGCACACACACACCCCCTCCCTCCCTGCCACACACAAACCCTAGGTGCAGCTCCCTCCCAACACCCCACCCCTACGGCTCTCTGCATCCTGGTCACTGTGGCCCTTCGCTAATGATGATCTACATCGTGATTAACACGAGCAGATAAACAGTCTGCATCCCACTCCCTACACATTGCACTACGTTGGAAAACATGTGCACTAGAGAATAGGAGGCCATTTAGGACACAGCCACAAACAACCAACCTGATCTTCTAATCAATACCATTGTCCAATTTGTCTGTCTGCAGCGCTGGCTAGCAACAGTCCAAGACATCGCCACACCACTTGGTTCATTTGTCTTTATAAGTATGTGACTTCATGTGATTTTCAACAGTGGCTGTGGAAATACAACGAGTGCTCAAAGAACTGCAGGAGGGAAAACGCAGAACGTTAAGAGCTGGCCTCTGTACGTGTGCGGTGAACGACAAACAGCGGTCGGTGTATTTTACTGGCTTTATAATGAGACGGCAACGGACAGCCCTCCAGCCGGTGCCATGAAGGAGAGGGAGGTGGGGGGAGGTTGTGAGTGGGCAGTCTTAACAACCTGCCACACACAAGCACACACCGAGAACAAACCCAGTCTGATCAAAGGGCTAAGAGGACCAAAACACCACCTTTCACCTCTTCAAATAAAATCACTATAGAGATTGGCATTCCTCGCCTGCTGGAAATCACACTCGTATTGAAAAGAAGCAAGGCATTCATCAGAACTGCTACCTTTCTGACCTGCAGGGGGTCCCACAGTAATGGTGCCCAAAGAGCACTTCAGATGGTAATAATGAAATCTACTGTAGCAGTCATTTAAATAGCACTTCACATTGACTACCGTGTGTGGAAAATGAACCGAGGAACGAAAAAAACATCTCAGTAAGTTATATCAAGTTGTCTTTGCACAAACACGTTCTAAAGAACACAGCTGCATGTACGTTAACGTTGCCTTTTTCCCCTAATGAAGACTCCAAGTTAAGTATTAAAAAAAAAAAATCAAGCTAATGATTTGCTCTAATTGGCTAATTACTCAATAGGAGCTAAACGCCTGTTGCATTCCCATCTGCCTGATCCTCCTATCCAACAGGCCCGGCTAATCAAACCCAGAGCAGCAGGTGATGAGCTGTCAAAGGGAACCTCCAGGAGAGTCTGTGGAGGGTTAGCAGTTAGCTGACAGCGTTAATTATCGCCTAGTGAATTAGCACAACTAACCCTCCGTCTTAGTTATTCCCCCATTGCTGCTTCCCCGAAAAAGAGTTGCCACTAGATAACACAGCCACAAAGTCAAAAATTAGCTACATCGCAAAAAATCATTTACGGTTAGGATTGGGCACAAGGTTAGCAGTGTGGGTTAAGGTTAAGTGTATCTTCTTAAAATCTGAAATAGGCAGGGTTTATGGCTTTGTGGCTGTGTTAACTAGTAACAACCCGAAAAAGGGGGGAAATGCTAATTGCTAGAATACTAATTGCTAGCAGGATGGGCCTGCTGAGGAACAATGGGGATCTCCAGGAAGAGGGGCTATTGATACTCACCACAGCTAGCCTTGCATGCTAACAAGGTTGTTTACTACCACAACCACCAGACAAGCTTCAATAGAAACAGCTGGGTTTCAGTTGTAGTCAACAATGAATGGTCACAAAAGATCTCAGACTAAGGCTGGACGATGTGTAAACTTAATAAAACAAGCCATACTGGCAGTTGCAGTATGGAGGACTTTCTTTTCTCTATGTAATTGCTAACATCGTGGAACTATCAGCTTGAAGACCTAAGGTCAAATCTCTCTAGCCAATCAACTTTTACTGTGTATTTGTAGCAGTGGGGTGAGGGTTGTGTGTTTTGCTTTCACAGCTAGCACTCCTATACACCCCCCCCCCCCCCTCCCATGTTACTCTATCACCTAGGTAACACTCATCAGAACAGAGTCAAGCCAGCGAGCACCCCTTGCTTGTCAGACATTGGATTTACAAGGGAGAGAAATAGAGAAGGAATAAATGTTGGAGAAAGAACAGTACAAGAGAGAGGGGGACAAAGATATACTAGAGGTAGTAGACTTTCTGGACTCTGACCCAGACTAACATTAGCCAGTGTATCTAGTATGTATATAACATTGAATTCCATATATAACTGTTTTATAACCTGTAATAGTGATCTCCGTGGTATGTAGTATAACTTACCACTTGACATAGAGTAGTACAGCGCAGGGGACCAGGTCCTGCTTGGAGAAGCCTGTATACTCAGCCAGCTGGATGGGCCAGATGGGAGCTGCAATGCAGAGAGAGGAGGGGAAGAGCAGGGGTCAAGGACATAAACTAGAGCAGGGGTCAAGGACAAACTAGAGCAGGGGTCAAGGATATAAACTAGAGCCGGGGTCAAGGATATAAACTAGAGCAGGGGTCAAGGAAATAAACTAGAGCAGGGGTCAAGGACATAAACTAGAGCAGGGGTCAAGGACATAAACTAGAGCAGGGGTCAAGGAAAAGAGCAGGGGTCAAGGATATAAACTAGAGCAGGGGTCAAGGACATAAACTAGAGCAGGGGTCAAGGACATAAACTAGAGCAGGGGTCAAGGACATAAACTAGAGCAGGGGTCAAGGACATAAACTAGAGCAGGGGTCAAGGACATAAACTAGAGCAGGGGTCAAGGACATAAACTAGAGCAGGGGTCAAGGACATAAACTAGAGCAGGGGTCAAGGACATAAACTAGAGCAGGGGTCAAGGATATAAACTAGAGCAGGGGTCAAGGACATACACTAGAGCAGGGGTCAAGGATAAACTACACTAGAGCATTAATACTGATATGACGTCCAACTGTTCAGCAAATAATAAAATAATGCCTCAGAAGTCTTAATGAGAAGCTGATGAACTACAGCTAGACTCTAAGGCAGTGGTATTCAAAGTCAGGTCGCGGGGAACTGCAGTGGGGTCGTCATAAAAATGTGGGTTGCGAGAAATTCTTTTGGGAAAAAATGGGTCCCCAGAACTTCTGGTGGGAAATAAACGGAGTCCCTGCTGAAAATATTTGAATACCACTGCTCTAGGGGTGTTTGAAAACCTAGGTCAACAGTGTGTGTGTCATGTATGGTTGTTCAGCAACTCCCTTGGGACTGGGGATACAGCACTTACAGTGAGGGAAAAAAGGATTTGATCCCCTGCTGATTATGTACATTTGCCCACTGACAAAGACATGATTAGTCTATAATTTTAATGGTAGGTTTATTTGAACAGTGAGAGACAGAATAACAACAAAAATCCAGAAAAATGCATGTCAAAAATGTTATAAATTGATTTGCATTTTAATGAGGGAAATAAGTAAGTATTTGACCCCACTGCAAAACATGATTTAGTACTTGGTGGCAAAACCCTTATTGGCAATCACAGAGGTCAGACGTTTCTTGTAGTTGGCCACCAGGTTTGCACACATCTCAGGAGGGATTTTGTCCCACTCCTCTTTGCAGATCTTCTCCAAGTCATTATGGTTTCAAGGCTGACGTTTGGCAACTCGAACCTTCAGCTCCCTCCACAGATTTTCTATGGGATTAAGGTCTGGAGACTGGCTAGGCCACTCCAGGACCTTAATGTGCTTCTTCTTGAGCCACTCCTTTGTTGCCTTGGCCGTGTGTTTTGGGTCATTGTCATGCTGGAATACCCATCCACGACCCATTTTCAATGCCCTGGCTGAGGGAAGGAAGTTCTCACCCAAGATTTGACGGTACATGGCTCCGTCCATCGTCCCTTTGATGCGGTGAAGTTGTCCTGTCCCCTTAGCAGAAAAACACCCCCAAAGCATGTTTCCACCTCCATGTTTGACGGTGGGGATGGTGTTCTTGGGGTCATAGGCAGCATTCCTCCTCCTCCAAACACGGCAAGTTGAGTTGATGCCAAAGAGCTCGATTTTGGTCTCATCTGACCACAACACTTTCACCCAGTTCTCCTCTGAATCATTCAGATGTTCATTGGCAAACTTCAGAAGGGCCTGTATATGTGCTTTCTTGAGCAGGGGGACCTTGCGGGCGCTGCAGGATTTCAGTCCTTCACGGCGTAGTGTGTTACCAATTGTTTTCTTGGTGACATTGGTCCCAGCTGCCTTGAGGTCATTGACAAGATCCTCCCGTGTAGTTCTGGGCTGATTCCTCACAGACCTCATGATCATTGCAACTCCACGAGGTGAGATCTTGCATAGAGCCCCAGGCCGAGGGAGATTGACAGTTCTTTTGTGTTTCTTCCATTTGCTAATAATCACAACAACTGTTGTCACCTTGTCACCAAGCTGCTTGGCGATGGTCTTGTAGCCCATTCCAGCCTTGTGTAGGTCTACAATCTTGTCCCTGACATCCTTGGAGAGCTCTTTGGTCTTGGCCATGGTGGAGAGTTTGGAATCTGATTGATTGATTGCTTCTGTGGACAGGTGTCTTTTATACAGGTAACAAACTGAGATTAGGAGCACTCCCTTTAAGAGTGGGCTCCAAATCTCAGCTCGTTACCTGTATAAAAGACACCTGGGAGCCAGAAATCTTTCTGTTTGAGAGGGGGTCAAATACTTATTTCCCTCATTAAAATGCAAATCAATTTATAACATTTTTGACATGCGTTTTTCTGGATTTTTTTGTTGTTATTCTGTCTCTCACTGTTCAATTAAACCTACCATTAAAATTACAGACTGATCATTTCTTTGTCAGTGGGCAAACGTACAAAATCAGCAGGGGATCAAATACTTTTTTCCCTCACTGTAGATAACTCTCAATTTTGAAGACGTCCCCAGAAAGATTTTTTTGTTGCACTTCAGCTCAAGTGAATACAGAAGTACATCATCGGGGCAGATTACATATCAGTTTGTAGACAAACAGACAGTGTGTAGAAGACAAACGGGCCGTGTCCCAAATGGCACCCCATTCACTATATAGTGCCCTATGTGCCATTTGGGACACAGCCGTAGACCGCGTGTTCACCCGCCTTACCGTAGTGGTGCAGTGCCCGTGTGAGCAGCAGGGTGGCGTTGGCCAGGTGGGCTGAGGAGTATGTAGTGAGGGCTGAGTAGAGCAGGGTGAGCTCACACAAGTAGCTGAACATGTGGATACTGAGCCTCTCTAGGGGTAACAGAGACAGCAGCACCTGGCCGTAGTCCAGCAGGGTGGGAGTCTGCAGAGGCACAACACCAAATGAGTTAAACCCATAGAAATACAATGACTAGACAGGACTACAACAAGACTTCAACAGCCAAGACTGTTGTGAATTTTGAAAACCCCTCAACAGAGGCCTTTAGCCCAAGCTGATGAAACGAATACAGAAGCCATCATTGGGGCAGATTATAAAATGTTTACAGAAGAGGAGTATAGACTACGTGTGTGTGGCTGTATGTGTGGTGCGTGTCCACTCCACTCACCCTGATCTTGCCCTTCAGCACAGAGATGACCTCCCCCATCATGCGGACAAGGTCCTCATACTTGTAGGTGTTGTCTGTGAGCCACACCGCCTCCCGGATGGTCAGGATGTCCTTACTGATGTACCTAGAGAGAGACGTGGGTCGTATTCATTAGGCACCAAACTGAAGAAAACAGACAAACACGGAGGAACTACCTGAACTAGTCCAATAAATAGAACTCTGAATATTGAAAACCCCTCAGAAAGATTTTTTATTGCACTTCAGCTCGAGCCTTTAGCCAAAGCTGATCAAGTGAATACAGAAGTACATCATCGGGGCAGATTACATAGAGGATCAAATACAGACCAGTTTGTATCATGCTTAGGGTTGCACAATTCCAGTTACTTTCCCAAAATCAGGAAGGAATAAGCAGGAAAACCAGAATTCTCCAACCAGGATTTCTGGAAAACCTGTGAATTCTGGGAAAATTACAAGAATGTTGCAACCATAATCATGCTACATCCACATACAGCGTTTTTCTGTCTCGTACCGCGTGCAGACGACCATGCAGGCGATGCCCAGCAGCTGCAGGCGGGCCTTGGGTACAGAGCGCAGGGCCAGGTAGCGGTCCACGCAGCTCACCGTCACGTGGAGGGTCAGGCTGGAGAAGTCCTTCATGGTGGTTACCTCCACCAGCCAGTCCACCAGGATGTATCTAGAGAGGTTGATGGGAGAGAGAGAGATGAATACTGTTATGTACCTAGAGAAGAGGGGGGGGGGGGGGGAACACTTATGTACAGTGGCTTGCTAAAGTATTCACCCCCCATGGCATTTTTCCTATTTTGTTGCATTACAAACTGGAATTACAATTGAATTTTTTTGGGGGGGGTTTGTATAATTTGATTTACACAACATGCCTACCACTGAAGATGCAAAATATTTTTTTGATTGTGAAACAAACAAGAAAAAAGAAAAAAAAGAAAACGTGCATAACTATTCACCCCCCCCCCCCCAAAAAAAAAAAGCAATACTTTGTAGAGCCACCTTTTGCAGCAATTAGCCACTGGGATTTTTGCCCATTCTTCAAGGCAAAACTGCTCCAGCTCCTTCAAGTTGGATGGGTTCCGCTTGTGTACAGCAATCTTTAAGTCATACCACAGATTCTCAATTGGATTGAGGTCTGGGCTTTGACTAGGCCATTCCAAGATATTTCAATGTTTCCCCTTAAACCACTCAAGTGTTGCTTTAGAAGTATGCTTAGGGTCATTGTCCTGCTGGAAGGTGAACCTCCGTCCCAGTCTCAAATCTCTGGAAGACTGAAACAGGTTTCCCTCAAGAACTTCCCTGTATTTAGTGCCATCCATCATTCCTTCAATTCTGACCAGTTTCCCAGTCCCTGCCGATGAAAAACATCCCCACAGCATGATGCTGCCACCACCATGCTTCACTGTGGGGATGGTGTTCCCGGGGTGATGAGAGGAGTTGCATTTGCGCCAGACATAGCGTTTTCCTTGATGGTCAAAAAGATCAATTTTTGTCTCATCTGACCAGAGTACCTTCTTCCATATGTTTGGGGAGTCTCCCACATGCCTTTTGGCGAACACCAAATGTGTTTACTTATTTTTTCTTTAAGCAATGGCTTTTTCAGGCCACTCTTCCGTAAAGCCCAGCTCTGTGGAGTGTACGGCTTAAAGTGGTCCTATGGACAGATACGCCAATCTCCGCTGTGGAGCTTTGCAGCTCCTTCAGGGTTATCTTTGGTCTCTTTGTTGCCTCTGATTAATACCCTCCCTTGCCTGGGCCGTGAGTTTTGGTGGGCGGCCCTCTCTTGGCAGGTTTGTTGTGGTGCAATATTCTTTCCATTTTTAATAATGGTGCTCCGTGGGATGTTCAAAGTTTCGGATAAAAATAATTATAACACAACCCTGTACTTCTCCACAACTTTGTCCCTGACCTGTTTGGAGAGCTCCTTGGTCTTCAATGTGCCGCTTGCTTGGTGGTGCCCCTTGCTTAGTGGTGTTGCAGACTCTGGGGCCTTTCAGAACAGGTGTATATATACACTGAGATCATGTGACAGATCATGTGACACTTAGTTAAATAAAGTCCACCTGTGTGCAATCTAATTATGTGACTTCTGAAGGTAATTGGTTGCACCAGATCTTATTTAGGGGCTTCATAGCAAAGGGGGTGAATACATATGCACACACCACTTTTCCGTTATGTATTTTTTTGAATTATTTGAAACAAGTTTTATTTTTTTCACTTCACCAATTGGGACTATGTTGTGCATCTCCATTACATGAAATCCAAATAAAAATATATTTAAATTACAGGTGGTAATGCAACAAAATAGGAAAAATGCCAAGGGGATGAATACTTTTGCAAGGCACTGTACCTAGAGAGTGGAGAGGAGAGGGGTGGGAGAGAGAGATTCCTACTGTTATGTACCTAGAGAGGGGAGAGGAGAGGGACGGGAGAGAGAGACTCATACTGTTACGTACCTAGAAAAATGTGTGGTTATGGTAGTAAATTGCATGAGAAAGAGTGCTTAGAATTTTGAAAGCCACCTCAGACTAAGAATCTTCGCCCTTAACCAAAATTGATAAAACAACTCAATTGGTACAGAGTCAAGTGATCTTCAGCGTCAGTTCCAGACCAAACCGGTATGTTACCTCATAGTGTCATTGATGCCCTGTCGGAGCACCTCCTCTGCCCTGCGTCGGGGCACGGGGGGACAGGAGCGAAACAGCTGGGCCACAAGGTCGGCACAGGCCCTCTGCTCCAGACCCAGCGGGTTGTCACTGCTGCACACCTTGGCCAGGGACAGCTGGACGCACACATACACACAGAGAGATAGAGAGGGTCAAAGGGCACAGGTCAAAAGTCATGCCAGGCTTGCCAAGCAAGCTGGACAGGAGGGCAAATGTAATTAAACATCACCTGTGCTCAGTAACAGCCTCAATGACTCATCCACTTTAATTGGTTGGGAGAATAAACAAAACCATAGATTTTGTTTGTGTGTAGATTTGGACTGCCTGTTACAGTCAATGGATACATTATCATGTCTATGCCATTGGATATAGAGGAGTCTCTCTCTCCGTAAACACACACCAAGGCTGCGTTTACACAGACAGACCAATTCTGACCTTTTTCCACTAATTGTTCTTTTGACCAATCAGATCTTTTTTTATTAAAGATCAGAATTTATCAGAATTGGCCTGTCTGTGTAAACGAAGCCAAATAGACACACACCTGTGCCTCCCAGCATCCTTTGGCTGCGTAGTCCCTGAGCGTGCGTATGAACTGGAGGTACCTGCCTGGGTCCGCCATCTGAGAAGAGACAGCACAGAACCACAGTAAGTTATGAGGTCGTTTTTTTACTTACCCGACACTTACATCAACACAACACATGGGTTTCCCATCACATTTTACAACCTTTAGCTACACAACATACATTGTAACATAAACAAAGCCTTTTGAGATGGGGACAACCAGAGAGGAGTGAAACTCACTGCGGTTTTACGGTTATGTTCCCACAGCAGGTAAGAGCTCTGTAGACAGCCCGACTGAGACGACTCTTCTAGTAATGTCAGGGCCTCGGAGCGCTTGTCATCCTCCTGAAACACACACACATTAAACCATGTTTTCAATATTGGATGTTTCACACAGCATATTAAATACTCCTCTCTATCCAGCACAAGGCCTACTGGATATGTAACACAGGGTTCTGAGTATGCAGTATGTTAGTCAAGACCAGCCCATCATAATAATAATTAATATATATTTTGTGAGTGTGAATGTGTGTACGTATAAAACAACATTTATCCCATCTGGGCTGATGACTAGCAGGGCTGCCTATAGTGTGACGGTGCCTTCACAGCCTCATCAGAAACTAACTGGAACTGTGTGGTGGTTTGGTTACCATAGAAATGGAAGACAGCTGTTACTACAAAAAAAAATCACCACACTGCAACACCTGTGCCTTTCTGGAAAGAATCGCAGAGGTGTGTGTGTGCACTTACATCAAAAAGCTGGAGGACTCTGGCCAGACAGTGCAGCAACGGTCCCCTCCTCTCCTATAAAAAATTACAACGGCAAAATGTGAAAATGTTGCCTAATAAAATCATTGTTAGAGCGCAACCATATCGTCTACAAAACATTTCACTATTTTTATAGAAACACTGGAGTTTTCATTAAAGTCCATTCATTCCAATGAGCAAAGAAGACATGCCCATCTATTTACAAAATCGCTGGACAAAACATAGGTGATACATGCAGGGCACAACAAGAGAGGACAGGCAAAAACAGGCTATAAGGGATGGACATTTCTGGCGGTGCCTGTTGGTCATAAATAAATGGGGGGCGAGACACACCGTTGCACAAAGCAGCATTACAGTCTCTCCCCATTTGTCTTCACTACCAAGGTCTAGTAGGCCTTCGGCAGACTATTTTTGGCAACATGTTTCCCCAATCCATCTCGCCTTTCTTCCCATGCAGTATTAGATGCATACATTTAAGTAATTTAGCAGACGCTCTTACCCAGAGCGACTTACAGAAGCAATTAGGGTTAAGTGCCTTGCTCAAGGGCACATTCACCTAGTCGGCTCAGGGATTCGATACAGCGACCTTTCGGTTACTGGCACAACGCTCTTAAATGCTAGGCTACCTGCCAGCTTTACACATCTTAATCAGTGTTGATAATGGATAGATAGACGATGGACAGTTCTGAGTGAATGAACCAGGAAGGTACAACCATAGAAACAGAATCAACATTCCTCATTATATACAGTGGGGAGAACAAGTATTTGATACACTGCCGATTTTGCAGGTTTTCCTACTTACAAAGCATGTAGAGGTCTGTAATTTTTATCATAGGTACACTTCAACTGTGAGACAGAATCTAAAACAAAAATCCAGAAAATCACATTGTATGATTTTTAAGTAATTAATTTGCATTTTATTGCATGACATAAGTATTTGATACATCAGAAAAGCAGAACTTAATATTTGGTACAGAAACCTTTTTTTGCAATTACAGAGATCATACGTTTCCTGTAGGTCTTGACCAGGTTTGCACACACTGCAGCAGGGATTTTGGCCCACTCCTCCATACAGACCTCCAGATCCTTCAGGTTTCGGGGCTGTCGCTGGGCAATACGGACTTTCAGCTCCCTCCAAAGATGTTCTATTGAGTTAAGGTCTGGAGACTGGCTAGGCCACTCCAGGACCTTGAGATGCTTCTTTCGGGTCGTTGTCATGCGGGAAGACCCAGCCACGACCCATCTTCAATGCTCTTACTGAGGGAAGGAGGTTGTTGGCCAAGATCTCGCGATACATGGCCCCATCCATCCTCCCCTCAATACGGTGCAGTCGTCCTGTCCCCTTTGCAGAAAAGCATTCCCAAAGAATGATGTTTCCACCTCCATGCTTCACGGTTGGGATGGTTTTCTTGGGGTTGTACTCATCCTTCTTCTTCCTCCAAACACCGCGAGTGGAGTTTAGACCAAAAAGCTCTATTTTTGTCTCAGACCACATGACCTTCTCCCATTCCTCCTCTGAATCATCCAGATGGTCATTGGCAAACTTCAGACGGGCCTAGACATGCGCTGGCTTGAGCAGGGGGACCTTGTGTGCGCTGCAGGATTTTAATCCATGACGGCGTAGTGTGTTACTAATGGTTCTCTTTGAGACTGTGGTCCCAGCTCTCTTCAGGTCATTGACCAGGTCCTGCCGTGTAGTTCTGGGCTGATCCCTCACCTTCCTCATGATCATTGATGCCCCACGTGGTGAGATCTTGCATGGAGCCCCAGACCGAGGGTGATTGACCGTCATCTTGAACTTCTTCCATTTTCTAATTATTGCGCCAACAGTTGTTGCCTTCTCACCAAGCTGCTTGCCTATTGTCCTGTAGCCCATCCCAGCCTTGTGCAGGTCTACAATTTTATCCCTGATGTCCTTACACAGCTCTCTGGTCTTGGCCATTGTGGAGAGGTTGGAGTCTGTTTGATTGAGTGTGTGGACAGGTGTCTTTTATACAGGTAACGAGTTCAAACAGGTGCAGTTAATACAGGTAATGAGTGGAGAACAGGAGGGCTTCTTAAAGAAAAACTAACAGGTCTGTGAGAGCTGGAATTCTTACTGGTTGGTAGGTGATCAAATACGTATGTCATGCAATAAAATGCAAATTAATTACTTAAAAATTATACAATGTGATTTTCTGGATTTTTGTTTTAGATTCCGTCTCTCACAGTTGAAGTGTACCTATGATTAAAATTACAGACCTCTACATGCTTTGTAAGTAGGAAAACCTGCAAAATCGGCAGTGTATCAAATACTTGTTCTCCCCACTGTATTTCTATGGGTAAAACAGCCCTCTAATTTGTATCCAGGATATTAGACTAAACTTTTATCCAATAGGAACCAAGGGAGATGACAGTGATGGTTGCTGAGGTTGGCTGTGTCTATGGCTGCCCATCTCCTCCAGCCAAGCTCAACCAGGCCTAGCCTGGTAACCACTTACCACATTGGTTTCACACTCGGCCTTGAGCCTATCGAACACCACAGCCTTGCAGCAGCTCCCAGTGGGGGACCAGGGCGGACGGATGAACACCCAGATGAAGGGGTCGGCGGTAGGGGAACGCAGGCTCTCCGCCAGGCTGAAGAACTGGGATGCCTTCCGGCCGCACACGTCGGCCCGCCCTTCGTCACTCAGCAACGCTGGGACAGAGAAGAGGGTGATTATTATACAGGAATTTATTAAGTGATTTGGTCAATGTCAATCAGTGATCAACCTCATAACCAATTCAGTGAGAAACAATGGAAGACAAGTGCAGTGAGACTTACGTCCTTCATTGTACAAATATGCAATCCCTAGTTTCACAGCTGCCTCAAAGTTTCCCTTCTCTGCGGCCCTGAAAGAGGAGACAGAATTCGAGAAACGTATTAGGGTATGCAGACCTTCAGTCTCCCTGATGTGAAACTAACATATTGGAAGATGTACAGAGTTGAGGGCATGGTTGGGGTGTGGGAGGAGTCTATCCTACCTCTCAAAGAGCCAGACTGTGTTGGGGGATGGCCAGGTATCCCTGAAACTGACCCGGGCCCAAACACTGGAGTGGTTATCAATGATGTCACAGAGCTGAGAGTGTACCTGGGAGATAACAACCAAATGCCTCAGTTAGCCTCCAACATGGCAATCCTCTATGCATGTTCTTCTTCCTTTCAATAACTGAGTAAACATAACATTCCTTATACATGCTAAAGGAGGTGTATATAAGAGGAGACTGACACACATTGTGACTCACCAATTCAGGTGGTGACAAGATGTTCAGAAGAGACTCGCTCAAATGATATGTGTACTCCAGAGGCTGTTCAATTGTTTGAGTGTGTGTGTGAGTGTTTTAGGAGTGTGAGTGTGTTTTAGGCGTGTGTTTTAGGTGTGTGTATGTGGACGTGTTTAACTATACTTGTGGGGACCAGAAGTCACCACAAGAATATTAAAAACAAACAAACATTTGGTTTTCAGGTTAATGTTAGGGAAAATGGGATTTTGAATGGGCCTGAATTGTATGTCGCCACAACGTTAGTTAAACAAGACTGTGTGTTTGTGTGACTTACAGCTCTGACAGCCAACAGGTCCTCAGCAGAGAGGCATTGGAGCACACACAGAAGCACCTCTTCGGGTAGAGACAGCAGTGTCAGGCCTGGAACACGCTTACGGATCCGCTTCCGTGCTGGAACCGTGAAGCATTTGGAACAACGACAGTGTAGCACTAAAGAAGAAAGGAAAAAGAGGGAGAAATAAAAAATTTAATCACTCTTGCCATTTTAGATACAGATAACCATCAAATGCAAAAAACGTCCCTCTTTCCTACTCAACTGACTCTCCAACTAAACTGACTCTTACTCACAGTGCCCCCATACATTTAGTCTTCATCCTAACTGTGGGACACCGTTTACTACTGACAATGTTTCAGACACTGTTTATTCAATAGTATTTGTTTACAGTTCTCATCTATGTGCTGCACCAGAAACAGTAATTCCAACCTGAATGTCAGTTAACGGTTGCTACAGCTTGCTGGCTCAAACTAAATCAAAACAGGCAAAAGTGACCCAGTTAGATATAATTAATAATTGCATGATATATCGGTAGTTATAACCAATGGAATCTATTTTGACTAATTAAGTTAGCTGGCCGAGTTCTGCCTAATGTTTGAGCTCAGTTTAACTCAGCGCCCAAATTTCCCTCCTCAAACCTACGTTCACTTACAAGCAACTGTAAAGCTTCTTATTTCAGTCAAATCCAAAAACATGAATTATCTATTTGCGTCGCTTTCAAAACCACACAAAGGTATTGACTTTACAACGTAGTTAACTATGATATAAATGTTACGAATGCTCTATTTTCAAATAAGGCACATTTATAACGTTAGCCACTGAATTAACGACTGGCTCTAGTACTGGCACCAAGCTGGGTACCAGTAGTAGCTAGCTAGCTAACCAGCCATCATTACATTAGCAAACCAGAATAGATAGCTAGCTAGCAGGCTAGTTAGCAGCTAACGTTACCAAGTCAGTTAGCTACTGTAGCTATAAACTGTTCATGTTATTCACTCTTACACAGTGCAAGTTCTCTAACCTAAATTGTATAAGCTGAAACAGGTTTCTGACTAAAACGTTTAAATGTTTAGCTAGATAGATAACACATTCACACGCTAGCTAATTGAGTCCGATAGATACTTACCGCCCGCTTTCATTTCGTGGAGAGATCACCCTAATTCTGGCAAGCTCCCTAGCTTTAAAGTTGTGCAAACACAAAGCTGACAGTGTGAACAAAATACGAGTAAATATAACTTGTGTTATAAACTATGGCAATTCTAATGAATGGTCAATTTGTCTAATTCTAAAACACAGCCTGAGAGGGCTGTCTAGCTTGTTGTGATGTTGTGAAATTGATAGCTTGAATTCAAATCCATGCATGCATCCCTCTCAACTTTTGAGATCCTCCCAAAATTGGCTAAGCACCGCCTGCGCGCAGAGTTTAAACATCAACTTCGATTTTATTGGCGGAAAACGAGAAAGCCCAGCTATTATCTAGCGAGCTTCCGATTCGTCTAGGAGAAGAGCGACAACTTCGATTGGTTTGTCGTTACAAATAATTAAATAGAGACCACTGATTGGATAACATCAAACCATTTTCGAAGTACGCGCTTCCAAATAGATGCATTTGGTTGGTCAAAGGGGTTACCAAAAACGATGACGAATTTTGGGATATGTAGTAGTCACAATTTACGTTTTAAACGTGCCATATTTAAAGAGACATTAAAAATAAAATAGGGTATCGCTCAAGATTATTAATTGAATAAAAACATATTTCTTAAATATGTTAATGGTATAATTTTTATTAATGACAATTTTACATAGCTAAGGGAGCGTCGACATTTACAGAATTATTACCTGGAGGAAAATGGGGGAGGGTCAGGCTTTTCCAATTCCAGTAAGGGGGATGGGTTTAGTATTTGTTTATTTAGTCCAGGGGAGGGTCATGTCATTTGTAATCGATTAAATATCATATTGCTCAGTGTTTGAGAATTAGTTGCTTATTATATCTCGATGTGTGCCTGATGCTGCCCCTCATCCCTGATTCTCTGCTGGGCGCACAATATCAAGGGTCACCTAGTGTGTTCTCAATCAAATTATCCATAGCCTATACTATAGGCTATAGGCCTAGGCTATACGAAGAGCATGCTCGGAGAAGTACAGGGCAAATTAATATTTCGAAGAAAATGTACTTCCTTCCCGATTTTTTCCGCTGCTGGGATGGTGCATATAAAACTAGGCAACACTGCATTACACACTGCAATGGATAGGCTATTCCAACCATAAGCCCTGCACTTGCTGATGTAAACCCTTTTGTGCTGCCTAACCAATGGCTGTGCTGTGGCACTTCAGGAGCCGAGTCAAAGGCTTCTTCCGGAAAAAAAAATATTAGTAAAAAATTATATTTGTGCGGGCAGACTAGGACTACTGATGTCCTGTTCAGTTTGAAAGGGAGAGCCAAAGATGAAAAGGAGGACCGGAGGTAAGCTTGCTACTGCTATAATTGTTTTGAATAAAAACAAAATGTTTCATTGCCCATAATGAAGCTATTTATCAGCGTTATTGACCTCACAATAAGGCATATTCAAGTAATTTGCATAACTTACATTACTATGAAGCGGCAGGCGTGGAGATGGACAGTGCATGGGTGCTGAAAGTAGGCTAATTTGAAAAGGCCTAATTCATTTAAACAGTTAATTTTAATTTGACATTAAGCTACTAACAACAAGAGGGCTTTCAAGACATAAGAGGTAGGCCTACCTGTTTGACAAACAAAATGATAGTCTACTATCCATAGATTTTGTCAGCCAATTCTTTCAGTCACCATGCACTCCTTAAAGATCTCAGTGTCAGTGAAGGGCTTGGTGTGTTAAGTTAAAACCAGGGCTCTAATTGAGGGGGTATGTGAAAGCATGTGAGGGTATTGGGGCTTAAAAAAAATAAGAAAATGGCTAAAAGCAGAGGCCTACCCCTTGTTAGCTTAAAATAAAAAAATCTACAAAATGATGGACCTGATTATATAAAGCCATCTATAACGAGGCTTTAGTCCGCAATGCTACAAACAAGCTGTAAAATGCTGGGGAAAGACGTGACTTCGATGCATATGGGATATCTTTGGTTTATCTCTATGACATTCAGAGGCTACACTGCAACCTTCTATAGCCAAGGAGACAAAGAATGTACTTTGCTTGGGAAGTAATGTGTGATTCTGTCACTATCAATTGACATTCAACATTTTAACAGGCTATTAAACAACACACTAACTCCAAATCAGTCAGGAGCAAGCCAGCTAGCCTAAGAAGGAACGAAAATGAAATATTTAGGCTATATTATTATTATTTCAAGGCTATAGCCTGCCATTTAAGAAATCAATAGTGAAGCATTTGTGACACGCTGGCATGAGCGCTCAGCATTTCAACAACACATCAACAACAGAACCTAACAACATACCTATACATTTCGTATTTAGGCTGTATAAAATGAAATAAATTACTTAGAATTAAATAATAATGAAACAAAAAATGCCTTATTAGGATACATTTTATGAAGCAAAGTTTACAGATAGGCCTACGTCTCTGTTGAAACTCTTTTCAGAAACGCAGACAGGATGCTTATTAAATGGGTCTTATGGGGAAGGAAAGGAGGGGTAGGAAATAACCAGAAAGATTAGGGGGGCAAGCCAGATAAACTGTGACTGACTCAAACCAATCTTTTCAAATATGAGCTCTAGCAATGTTTTCCAAAATGATGAGCTTCAAACTTGAATAAACCCAGTCAATCCAAGACGGAAAGGAGTGAAACTGGCTCTGAGGAGGAAGATGGAAAGATGATTGCCGATTGTTTGTTTTTGTTTCATCATCTCAGGCAAAACTTCTATAGAAGTTGATTGGCTTGGTGTTTGATTACCTATGTGTGTTTGACAGGTCAAATCAAATCTAAGTGAAGTTTTTAAATCATTCCACATTGAAGAACAGGCCTACGTATCATTTAAATCCCAAGGGACATGACTGGGTTGGGGTTCCTCTGAAAAGTTTACAACTCAGAAGGTCACAGTCAGCTGCGATTATTACAGATATGGGTCTTGTCAAGCAACAGTGATTTTTTTATCTGAATAATGGTTTTCTTCACAATTTCCCCACCATGCCATATACTTTTTATAATGACTCATGTCTCGTGACAATGTGTGAATAATGTGAATATCCTATTAATATTCTGAATTTTTTCCTCCTTGTCAGAACTTCATTACTAAAAATAGAAGCCATCTTAACCATTTGAAATCAGTGCAGTCAGAATTTCCCCTCACATTGCAACCTCACATTCTCAGAAGATCCAAAATATCTCCTGATCTATCTTAGTGGAGTCACCTCCGTGACAGGAAGTGATGAACCTGAATACTAAATGGTGGACTTGAATGAAATGGGATGCATAGATTAACCTTTGCAGACAGCTTCTCATCATAGAGACGAGGAGGCAAGGACACATTCATTAGTTATCATGGAACGGATGGCGGAAATATAGCACCATGGTGGTCAAAGACTCTGTAATAAGACGCTAGACAAAGAATGAGCAAATGAGAAATACCATGACGTAGAGGGAAATGTACATAGTTGTATTATGGATGAGCAGCCATGCATGAGCATCATTCATTTGTCCTCCCTATAATCAAACACCACAATAAAGAATCAATACAGGCATCGTATGAAGTCATTTTCATCCTCAAGCACACACAGACACATTCCAGACCCTTCTCCATCACACACACACACAAACATGAATCATAATCAGGGGTGATGATGCAGACAGGTAGTTGGCAGAGGCAGAGATTAGGATGTTTACCCTAAGTGAGACAGCAGCTGCTGTGTCTGTGGACATGATGTGATGGTTAGGTCTACTCTGTTCCCCATGGAAATAAAGAGGGCGATGGTATTTCCAATAATAGTAGCTCCCTTTGATCGCTGACCACTTGAATGTCATCAAAGCGAGCACAGTGCAGCTGAACCACCACAGACAATGTGGTCCTTATGTTCTTCCTGGCTCTCTCTTTAGTGACCTCACCTTCATCTTCTTCTGTAAGGTGAATTCTGAAAAAGTGGGACACTTTTAGCATTTCCGTCTTCTGTAACCTCTTTCAACATCTATCCAACATGTTAGCCCAACACATGATACATTTCTGAAACCCTCAATATGTTTCCTAATCACACACACACACAAATCATGATAGCATATTCACAGGAGGCATGACACACCCATTTGTGTACACTGAGTCAAAATCATATTTTCAGTTCGCATTTGGTAGACTGGGACAGCAGAATATATAAACTGGGACACCATTATTATAGTCCTAATTGTACCCCAATGACAATTCAATTCAATTTTGTGTTATTAGGAAACATCTGAGATTTTCAGAAATGTATGATGTGTTTGGGCTAATATGTTGGATAGATGTCTGAAGAGGTTACAGAGGACGGAAATGCAAATAGTGTCCCATTTATTCTGATTTCACTCAAATAGCAGAACTAATAACAGTAGTAATCACAGTACTACAATAAAACAATTCACAGGATATAGTACTACAAGAACAAGAGCCCTGCCTAACCTAAGTACAGGGGGTACCCAATGTAAATGGTATCACTTTAACTACTCAATTCTGTACTACTTTAGCTAGCTATGGTTGGTAAACCAAAAAAATGACTGAATTACAAAATTGAAACATAATATTGGCAACTTTTTAAAATGTATTTTGATGCACAAGTTCATAGTATGCACATTTACATCACAATTTGGCACAGTGCATTATTTATGACAGTTTTGTAACCTTAACATCGAAACAGAAAAAAGCTATGTCACTGATCTTACCGTGTGCTTTGTGGGGTGAGCTTCCTGTTTGAAGCTTGCTCTGCCCCCCTCTAGGATATAACACCAATTAAGTTATGTGATTTTGATCATGTGGTTTCTTTGCAAGGGCTTAGTAACAATATCTTTGATTTTCTCTTGTCAGACCAATAAATAAACGTGTCAGGATTAAGCTTTCCCAGTTTATATGATGTCCTACTCTTTCCGAATTCACCCTACCCCACCCTTAACCTTTCCTTTCTCCCTAGTACTCTCTATATATTTATCTTGTATTTTTCCTCCATTCATCTTCAGTTCCTGAACCAACATTTGCCAGGCCGTCATTGTAAATAAGAATTTGTTGACCTGTCTGGGTAAAAATTTTTAAACATCCCATATAGGACAGCCACAAGCCTAATCCTTATTTTCTCCCTAGTTCATCATTTAATCTTCAGTACCTGACCCAAGATACGCTCTCATCCTTCCACCACCCCCACAACACCCACCACTACCACCACCACCACCACTACCATTACATTTACATTTTACATTTTAGTCATTTTAGCAGACACTCTTATCCAGAGCGACTTACAGTTAGTGAGTGCATACATTATTTTATATATTTTTATATATTTATTTTTTATACTGAATTACCTATGTAGTGAAAAGGGGAATTACCTATGTAATGTAAAGGGGAATCACCTATGTAGTGAAAAGGGGAATTACCTATGTAATGTAAAGGGGAATTACCTATGTAATGTAAAGGGGAATTACCTATGTAATGTAAAGGGGAACTACCTATGTAATGTAAAGGGGAATTACCTATGTAATGTAAAGGGGAATTACCTATGTAATGTAAAGGGGAATTACCTATGTAGTGAAAAGGGAATTACCTATGTAATGTAAAGGGGAATTACCTATGTAATGTAAAGGGGAATTACCTATGTAATGTAAAGGGGAATTACCTATGTCATGAAAAGGGGAATTACCTATGTAATGTAAAGGGGAATTACCTATGTAATGTAAAGGGAATTACCTATGTAATGTAAAGGGGAATTACCTATGTAATGTAAAGGGTGTTGTAATGTAATGTAATGTCTGCATTGCATGTACATATTACAACTGTACCACTCTTCATGGCTACACAGGCATGTTTGTTTGAAATTGTAAACAGATTTTTGTTGTTGGTGAGTGACCTATGATATTTCATCTATATTATGACCCATTTACTGTTTCCAAAGCAACTCCTCAGGGTTAAAATAAGGTGAGGTAGGCATATGAAAAGCAATCTGGTTGGATGAGTTGTATTCTCCAGTGCAGTCCAAAGCATACATTTATGGTGTTTACTGCAAAAGAACAGTTCTATTGTCCCCAGGCTTATTTCTAAAAGTACGGCTATGTTCATACTTTGTAGCATGTTGATTAGTTATTCCACTGACGTTACATCTCCATTTAATTGCATTCTGGAGTGAGAACAAACATTGTTGCTTAGTGGGAATTATTACTCTCTCTGGAGAATCTGCATGTAATATTTAGCTGTTCTTTTGGTAATACAATTCAACAGACTGTGTCATTCAGGTTGCTTTACAAACATACATTTGCTCTCAAAAAGTGTAATTTCTATTTGAAGCCATGGTTGGTGGAAGAGATGAGTGAGGCATACACACTATCAGAAGCTATAATTCTACCTGTTCAGAGAAATTACTACAGATGGAAGAGCAATTTACCACACACAGGCTCTCTCGGCCAATTCAGAAGTAACCACGTATTCAGTAGAGTGTGTGATCTATTCAGGTTTCCCTGACTAAAAGCTTTCAGGAGAGAATAGGACCTACTGGATGTACCAACGAGAGAGAGGGGGGGGGGGGGTCAGGAGGGAGAGAGAGAGAGAGAGAGAGAGAGGAGAGAGCAGAGAGAGAGAGAGAGAGTGAGAGGAGCGAGAGAGAGATGAGAGAGATGAGAGAGAGAGAGAGGGGGAGCGAGAGAGAGAGAGAGAGAGAGGAGAGAGAGAAAGAAAGAGAGAGAGAGAGAAAGAAAGAGAGAGAGGAGCAACACAATTAGACCCAACCATATCATGAGAAAACAAAAAGATAATTACTTGACACATTGGAAAGAATTAACAAAAAAACAGAGCAAACTAGAATGCTATTTGGCCCTAAACAGAGAGTACACAGTGGCAGAATATCTGACCACTGTGACTGACCCAAAATTAAGGAAATCTTTGACTATGTACAGACTTGCTATTGAGAAAGGCCGCCGAAGGCAGATCTGGCTCTCAAGAGAAGACAGGCTATGTGCACACTGCCCACAAAATGAGGTGGAAACTGAGCTGCACTTCCTAACTTCCTGCCAAATGTATGACCATATTAGAGACACATATTTCCCTCAGATTACCAAGACCCACAAAGAATTTGAAAACAAATCCAATTTTGATAAACTCCCATATCCATTGGGTGAAATACCACAGTGTGCAATCACATCAGCAAGATTTGTGACCTGTTGCCACAAGAAAAGGGCAACAAGTGAAGAACAAACACCATTGTAAATACAACCTATATTTATGTTGATTTATTTCCCCTTTTGTACTTTTGCACGTCATTACAACACTATATATAGACATAATATGACACTTTTGGAACGTTTGTGAGTGTAATGGTTACTGTTTGTTTTGTTTTGTTAATTTCACTTTTGTTTATTATTTATTTCACTTGCTTTGGCAATGTAAACATATGTTTCCCATGCCAATAAAGCCCCTTAAACTGAAATTGAATTGAGAGAGAGAGAGAGAAAGAGAGAGAGCACCCATGTTTGTGGTTACAGTGCTCAATTTTGTCAACCAGAGTAGAAAGCACCAAGACAGAGTAAGTGGACTGTGATTAATGTTGCAGCTTTTTTCTTAATCTGTAATGTTCATCCAAACATCCCAGCCCTATGCTGTTTGTTTAGTACTTGATTTCTGACCTGCTCCATTCTGCTCCATCATAATCATCATCATCATCTTCATCACCACCACCATCACCACCACCACCATCACCACCTCCACCATCATCAACATACAGTATGAACAAAGCAGCAGAGAGGCAGTGAGTCATCAGCACTGAGAAATAATTGTCCTTTTTTAATTTCCCCTACCAGGCATTGTTGGATATCTCCCAAACAAAGAGAGAGATGATCGTAGTAATTTACACTCAACACTGCTGCTCAGTACAGCAGTGTCTGGAGCATAGAGATCCTGTTCAATTACTATTCACAATTCCTCATTCTATGGTCTGGAGTGCATTATCCCGCACAGTGCTGCTTCTGAATTAATTATCTTTCATTCAGGGCCCATATTCATGAAGCTTCAGAGTAGGAATGCTGATCTAGGATCAGGTCCTCACTGTCCATGTAATCATATTCATGATGATCTAAAAGGCAAGACTGATCCCAGATTAGCACTCCTATTCTGAGACGCCTTATGAATATGGGCCCTGATGTCTCAGAGCATTTGGCAGAATAGAACACTGACAGTATGTCAGAATAGAACACTGACAGTATGTCAGAATAGAACACTGACAGTATGTCAGAATAGAACACGGACAGTATGTCAGAATAGAACACTGACAGTATGCCAGAATAGAACAATGACAGTATGCCAGAATAGAACACTGACAGTATGCCAGAATAGAACACTGACAGTATGTCAGAATAGAACACTGACAGTATGTCAGAATATAACACTGACAGTATGCCAGAATAGAACACTGACAGTATGTCAGAATAGAACACTGACAGTCTGTCAGAATAGAACACTGACAGTATGCCAGTATAGAACACTGACAGTATGCCAGAATAGAACACTAACAGTATGCCAGAATAGAACACTGACAGTATGTCAGAATAGAACAATGACAGTATGCCAGAATAGAACACTGACAGTATGCCAGAATAGAACACTGACAGTATGCCAGAATAGAACACTGACAGTATGTCAGAATAGAACACTGACAGTATGCCAGAATAGAACAATGACAGTATGCCAGAATAGAACACTGACAGTATGCCAGAATAGAATCAATCAATCAATCAATTTTATTTTATATAGCCCTTCGTACATCAGCTAATATCTCGAAGTGCTGTACAGAAACCCAGCCTAAAACCCCAAACAGCTAGTAATGCAGGTGTAGAAGCACGGTGGCTAGGAAAAACTCCCTAGAAAGGCCAAAACCTAGGAAGAAACCTAGAGAGGAACCAGGCTATGAGGGGTGGCCAGTCCTCTTCTGGCTGTGCCGGGTGGAGGTTATAACAGAACCATGCCAAGATGTTCAAAAATGTTCATAAGTGACAAGCATGGTCAAATAATAATCAGGAATAAATCTCAGTTGGCTTTTCATAGCCGATCATTAAGAGTTGAAAACAGCAGGTCTGGGACAGGTAGGGGTTCCATAACCGCAGGCAGAACAGTTGAAACTGGAATAGCAGCAAGGCCAGGCGGACTGGGGACAGCAAGGAGTCACCACGGCCGGTAGTCCCGACGTATGGTCCTAGGGCTCAGGTCTCTCAGTTGGCTTTTCATAGCCGATCATTAAGAGTTGAAAACAGCAGGTCTGGGACAGGTAGGGGTTTCGTAACCGCAGGCAGAACAGTTGAAACTGGAATAGCAGCAAGGCCAGGCGGACTGGGGACAGCAAGGTGTCAGCATGCCCGGTAGTCCTGACGTATGGTCCTAGGGCTCAGGTTCTCAGAGAGAAAGAGAGAACGAGAGAATTAGAGAGAGCATACTTAAATTCACACAGGACACTGGATAAGACAGGAGAAGTACTCCAGGTATAACCAACTAACCCCAGCCCCCCGACACATAAACTACTGCAGCATAAATACTGGAGGCTGAGACAGGAGCGGTCCGGAGACACTGTGGCCCCATCCGAAGAAACCCCCGGACAGGGCCAAACAGGAAGGATATAACCCCACCCACTCTGCCAAAGCACAGCCCCCGCACCACTAGAGGGATATCCTCAACCACCAACTTACAATCCTGAGACAAGGCCGAGTATAGCCCACAGAGGTCTCCACCACAGCACAAACCAAGGGGGGGCGCCAACCCAGACAGGAAGATCACGTCAGTAACTCAACCCACTCAAGTGACGCACCCCTCCTAGGGACGGCATGAAAGAGCACCCGCAAGCCAGTGACTCAGCCCCTGTAACAGGGTTAGAGGCAGAGAACCCCAGTGGAGAGAGGGGAACCGGCCTGGCAGAGACAGCAAGGGCTGTTCGTTGCTCCAGAGCCTTTCCGTTCACCTTCACACTCCTGGGCCAGACTACACTCAATCATATGACCTACTGAAGAGATAAGTCTTCAGTAAAGACTTAAAGGTTGAGACCGAGTCTGCGTCTCTCACATGGGTAGGCAGACTGTTCCATAAAAATGGAGATCTATAGGAGAAACACTGACAGTATGCCAGAATAGAACACTGACAGTATGTCAGAATAGAACACTGACAGTATGCCAGTATAGAACACTGACAGTATGCCCGAATAGAACACTAACAGTATGCCAGAATAGAACACTGACAGTATGTCAGAATAGAACAATGACAGTATGTCAGAATAGAACACTGACAGTATGCCAGAATAGAACACTGACAGTATGTCAGAATAGAACAATGACAGTATGTCAGAATAGAACACTGACAGTATGTCAGAATAGAACACTGACAGTATGCCAGAATAGAACAATGACAGTATGCCAGAATAGAACACTGACAGTATGCCAGAATAGAACACCGACAGTATGTCAGAATAGAACAATGACAGTATGTCAGAATAGAACACTGACAGTATGTAATTCAGTACATGATTTAACCAAGTTGGCAGAATAGTGTGTCAAGTCTCTGTGGATGGGTGAGGCTTCAGATGAGCACCCCAGCCAAATTCCTGTAATCTGTATCTGTACAGACCTCGAACATCCAGCTAACTACTTCCCCTCCATCTGCACTCTGGCCAGACTGATCCCTTCACCCCTCTCCACCCCTCTGCTCCACCCCTCTACTACACCCTCCCTCCACCCAACCCCAAACACACTCACCCCAGTCCCTACATCCACACCCGTTTCCCATCACCACTGACTACTAGGCCATCTGTACCTTGTACAGGGCTTTCAGTTCATGGAATGCTACATCAAGACATGTATATTTCACATTACAGTCACCTAGGCTATAGTCTTGTCCAAAGCAACTTACAATAAGAGCATTATATGGCATCTATTTGGTACAGTGCTTTCGGTTGATGTGAATGCCACCTGACATCTATAACCTATTTCACATGTTAGTCATGTAGTCTTATTCAGAGCGACTAATAATACATGCATTATACGGCATCTGTGGTGATCATTGACAACAATGATTTATGCTACATTTGGAGGTAATGTGTTGTTATAGTTATGGCTGGATCTCTATGTGGTTTTCAGTGCAGTGTTCATGATACACCAAAAATGAGATTCTGCTGAGCTGAAATTGGTGAATAGATATGATAATCTGGTGGCTCACATGTAGGCTAAGCAACGCTGCTGAATGGTGTTTTCATGTTGCATGGCTGCCTCAACACAAAAGAGAACACCCACCATGCATCACTCCTACCATGTGATGAGAAGACACAGAGAAAGAAGAGATAGTGAAGGAAGAGATAGTGAATGAAGAGATAGTGAAAGAAGAGAGTGAAAGAAGAGATAGTGAAAGAAGAGATAGTGAAGGAAGAGATAGTGAAGGAAGAGAGTGAAGGAAGAGATAGTGAAAGAAGAGATAGTGAAGGAAGAGATAGTAAAGGAAGAGATAATGAAGGAAGGGATAGTTAAATAGAGCAGGAGAGATGGGAGGAAAAACCAAAGGGAAAGAGACAGAGGAGGAGAATGGGACAGAATGATAATGATAATGAGAGAGTGATAATATGTGTGTGTGTGTGTGTGTGTCTGTGTCAGAGGCAGGGCTGGACAAATGAGGATAGATGGCTTTTGTTGTGAATATGATTTTCTGATATCCCCATTTCACCAGTAGGTGGTGCCTTTCGTTGAGCCAACTTCCCGGGCCCTAAGGTTTTCCTTGACCATGTGACTTGACAAGGAACATCTCTGGGCCTTAGTGATAGCAGATTTATTTATTCCTTGAGTTTCTTCACTACAATGTTCTGTGATGAGACAGGTTTCCTGTTTTGAAATGACAGTTAGAATTCACACAACAGGTTACATGAATCAAGACAGAACATAGCTGGTTTAATGACTCTGGCACTGAGAGGTGATGCAATGAAGACGTGTTTATGAATGGAAGCACTCTCTCTCTCTTCATACTGTTGGTATAATGTTGTTATGATCTAGTTATGACGAAGAGGTTGTGTTCTGTGAATTCTGTTGTCCCTTAAATAAACAGATAATTATTTGGAAAAACAATTAGTCAAAATGACTCAATACGACATGACCACCATTCACACAAACATGCATATATCGGTCTCCAGGCTTTCCAAGAAAAATAGCACATTGTCTTTCTCGCTCTCGCCCCCCCCCCCCCCCCCCCCCCTCGCTCTCTCTCTCTCTCTCCCCCCCTCTCTCGCTCTCTCTTTCTCCACCCACTCCTTCCCTCCCCCTACTCTTCCTCTATTTTTAGCCCAGTCCTACGGAACAGAAATCCTGACAGATCTATAGGGATAAACCAAGAGTCCAGGTTTGCCTGAGCATCAATGGAGACTCAGCAGCTCTGTAAACACCTCACAATGCACAAACACTAATTGTGTTATGGTCAAATTAAAGGGACAGTTCAGCTAAATTACATATTTAGATAAGTGTTTCCTTACTTTGAAGGCAGACTATCCCTTTAAACCTCTTAGCCAAAACAGAGTTATCCTTTCTTCGATCAAATCCTTATACCAAGAGATGACAGAAAGAGACAGGACTTTCATATCACTGCTTTAAATAACCTTTTACTGCAGTGGGCTAAATCAGGGTCACACAGTGTTTCTTGTTAGTCTTAAGCAAATCTACTTTGGAACAAAAGTATACACCTCACACACAAAAAAATAAGATGTCAGATATAGAGTTAAAATGTATCCCAATATTACACTTTAAATACATCACAGAAGAGTGAAATATAACAAAACTGTTTGACACAGAAACACTGAATTTTCTGTGGGTAAAAAAAAAGTAATGTTTATTAATTATGAAATTATAAAAAATATGAATAACATTCCACCCATGAGGCCAATAGGTCATTTGACTGCAGGAAAGGGCTACTAAAACAATTAAAATATACACGTTCAGATATATAAATATACAAATATAAATACAGTTGTATTCACCATAGAATATTCATATTGGGCAGACAGACATATATTTTCTGTCACTAGAGTGACAAATAAACAGCATTGGTTTCAGCAGACAGACATGGCTGTCCACTATTTGTTAAAGACATCCCTCACCCGTAGTAGAGGTAGATTTCCCTCTTTTTCTCTCTTCTCTTTTGCAGCATAATCATCATTCCATCTTTACATCACATCATCTCATACCAGGGACGTGTTCATTAGGGACCGAATGGAAGAAAACAGACCGAAGCAGTGTGGAATTACCTGAACTTGTCCAATGAGAAATGTTAGTTTTCATATTCCGTTGTAAAACATTTTGCTACAGTGTGCCCTAATGAATACGACCTAAGTGCTATTCAAGCATCACATCAAGTACTACTATGTACAGTATATATGATTACATAATGAGATTTTCCCCAGCTGAACACACACAGCTGAACACACAGAGTACATGCATGTGGGATTGCGTAGGTATTCAGAGACCTACGTGTCGGACTGTGCGTATCCGTGTGCGTGCGCGCGTGTGTGTGTCCCTGTTTGTGTGTGTGTCCCTGTTGTCTGTGTGTGTGTGTGTGTGTGTGTGTGTGTGTGTGTGTGTGTGTGTGTGTGTGTGTGTGTGTGTCTAGAATTGACAGCCTAACTGCTTGTGACTGTATTCCCAGCATGTAGCACTTTGCAGTGTTTCTCTGAATGAAATGACACAACTCTCCTCTCTCATACTGTTCCTTTCTCTCTCTCCCTATAGGTCCTGGTCAAAAGTAGTTCACTATAAACAGAATAGGGTGCCATTTAGGACAGATCTTTCAAGTGATCCCTTAGCTTAATCCTACTGTTAGCAGCAGCCTGTTAGAAAGTCTCTTGGAGAGAGCCTCAGGCTGAACACTAATAGATTAACACCCTGCACAGCGTGGAGACCAAGACCAAGACCGAGAGAGAGATATAAAGGTAGAGAGGGAGAGAAAGATTTGGTTAAAATGTAATCAGTAAACATCATAACCACCTGGGGCCCTCTCTCTCTCTCTCTCTCTCTCAATTCAATTTCAATTCAATTCAATTCAATTTAAATTTCAATTCAATTTCAATTTAAGGGCTTTATTGGCATGGGAAACGTGTGTTAACATTGCCAAAGCAAGTATATACTCTCTCTCTCTTACTATTTGTGGTAAATACTCAACGGAAAGAGAAATGCTGATGCAGGAGCATAACTTACCAGAGACTCATAAAATAAATATGTTTCTCAGTCTTCTTTAATCGTGTTCACACTGTATTATTTCCACACTATGAGGTTGGAATAATACTGTGAAAATTATGATAATGCCCTTTTAGTGTAAGAGCTGTTTGAAAAGACCACCTGAAATTTCAGCCTGTTTTGGTGGGATGGACTTTTGGCCTGCCTGACGGTAAATTAGTTAATAGACCAATAAGAAAGAGAGTTCCAAACCTCTCTGCCAATAACAGCTACTTTTCAGTTTTCCCCTCCCCCAGGGGTCGGCGGACTCCACTTTGAGGACCCCTGCTCTAGCTGGTATGGCCCTGGACTAAGAGCGTCTGGGGTTAAGGATAGACTTGGGCTAACCACAATGTGAAAAGGCCTTTTGAAGCTAGCCTGCTGGTGGCAGACCTGTTTGAGCTTCAGCCTGACTCCTTGGTCGTGTCCGTTGTCATGCCAAACATGACTAACAATGTATGGCATGCCGTGACGACGCAAGTCAGAAGAGTTGGCTGTAAAGCACATAGAATAGTACACACATTCCACTGGGCACACGCTGGTTGTATCAACGTTGTTTGCACATAATTTTAATGAAATTACGTTGAACCAACGTGGAATAGACGTTCAATTGACATCTGTGCCCAGTGGGAGTACTGGAGAACCCAGTTACTTCAGCCAGTAAAGCCGGAAAGTCTTTTCACTAAGAAACGCCAACAAGCTAGTAAACTTGTTACTCTGTCCATTAACAAAAAGGACAAGAAGGCAGCATTCCTCCTCTGTGGCTTAGCGCCTGGACCGCTGCCTTTATCCTGCGCCAGAGTTAAATGTTATTATTTTCCTTAAAAACACATCCCCGGGGGCCCCTTTTTTTCCCTTAAAAATTTTTCTTTTCTTTTAATTTTTAAAATTTTTTAAAAGGGTTTTTGGAGGGAAAGGTTTTTGGGTTTTGAAAAGAAAGGGTTTTAAACCCCCCCTTTTTACGTGGAAAAAACTAAAAAAAAAAATTTTATCGGACAAACTTAAAGACTCAAAAAAAAGGCCCAGTTTTTAATGGAACTTTTTTTTTTTTCCCATTAGGGAAAATTTATTTGGAAAAAGAAAACCCTTTTATTGGCTTTTAAAAAACCCCAAAAAATTTCCCCTTTTTTGGTGGTGGTTTTTTGGGGGTTTAGAAAAAATAAAAAAATTCCCCCTTTCCAATAAATTTTTTTTTTTTCCCCCTAGGGGGGGGGAAAAGAGGAGGGAGGGGGGGGGGAAAGAGGCGGGGAAGGAAAGG